TTATAGCTAATCTTACCCGTTTTCACAGAATGCAAGAATTAGGTCCCCCGTTTCCAGACTAATTAGAGAATTTTTACGTTTAGTCAAACGAACTATTTTCAACGTTTCTGGAACGTTTACAATCGTTCTATAATCGAACCAATATTCGAATTTTATGTTCGAATTTAATTCGAACATAAAATTCTATAAAGTTCTATAATCGAACCAATATTCGAATTTTATGTTCGAATTTAATTCGAACAAAACTAGAAAGCCACTTTCAACCACTTTCAGCCTCATATCTCCCGCCCCCTTATAGCTATCGAGACGCAACCACCCCTATGCACGAATGGAGACTTGCGGGTAACAGCTAGCTGTTACCCGCGACTTCGTCCGCGAAGGTTTTGCAAGCAAACCCCATTTACATTCAATATTTCAATAACCATAGTAATTGTTATATAACACCTACCGCTGAAAAGAACAGCCAAAAATCAAACGAACTATTTTCAATTTGATCAATTTTTTGGAACGTTTACAATCGTTCTAGCCTTAATGCTCTCCCTCACCCCCCGCGGAGGAATTTCTAAAAATCCCTTCTTAGTGTACATTCTCATGGCATACCCTACTATAACGCAGACTAGCAGGTAGGTCCGGCGTTGCTCGGGCAAAAAGTAACGATAGCAAAGATTAAGATTATTACGTTATAGTCAACCTTACCCGTTTTCACAGAATGCAAGAATTGGGTCCCCCGTTTTCAGACTAATTGGAGAATTTTTAGATGGGTCTAAAAATATCTTCGATTTCCTGCAAAAACGAAAAAAAACTGCACTTTCTCTTAAAACGTCGCTTTCTCTTAACACTTCCATTGTTGACACTCCCATTGTTACTTAACACTTCTATTATTGATGGAAGTGTTAAGCTTAATCCTGTCCCTCTCCCCCGGGGGGAATTTCGAAAAATCCCTTCTTAGTGTGCGTTTTCGTGACGTACGTTGTGTACCAAATTTCAGCTTTCAACTCCTAACCGTTTGGGCTCTGCGCTTATTATTATTATCAACTCGTCTCGATTATATATGTTACTGTGAATGACCGATATCTGGCGAATGTCAACATTCTCCAGTGAATGTCAGCATTCACACAGTCGTTTCGCGTATGTACGAAATATTTGCTAAATATCATTATTTCTCACTTACATCGGCAAATGTCAACATTCAGCATGCACTGATGATGAATGTTGAATAAAAGTATTTTTATTACGTTAAGACAAAAATGCAACTTTTTAATACGTCAAAATAGGAGAAAGCTTAAGTAACAGCATATGTAAATAAACTGTAGAACCTAAAACTAACAGTACGTTCTAAATCATTAAAGAAAATAATACAATAATAAACTTACACATAAATTATGTGATTAACGTTATACAATCTTATTTATTGCAACAACTTAAACTGTTATAGCACTTTGAATTGCACAAGAGTCCCTTGCTTTTACAACTGCATTTATTCGTGAAACACTTCTTTTTGCAATGACAGCGTCTATAGCATTGTCCTCCACTTTTCGAATTAGCTGCAGCTGCTTCTCTCGGTGATATTTCTTGAGAAGAAATATTATCTATGGAAAGTAACTTTTCTTTACAAATTACGAACTGATTGCGGGTATAAAGCTGCTTGAGGGTATCATTTTTGTGCGCTAATTTATAAAAGTTTGAGTCTTCTATTTCAACAACATTTCGGGCATCTGTACGGCCACGGTCGAAATCAGGACTTGTATTCGTACGGTATCACCAATTTGAACAGAAGGAAACGGCAAAGAATTTGGCGACAGACTGTCGCCTCTCTGTCGACATCGGCTTCTCGGGTGTCGTTTCGACCTTCACCAAAGCTTATCTGTGTTTGTCGACATACATCGGCGATTGCTCGAATGTATAATAATAAAACCAAATATTCGGTCTTACACCAACGTATTTTGTATGTGTCGACATTCACCGGAGAATATCG